AATAAAATAAAATAATAAGATGAAATAAAATGAAATGAAATATAAAATAAAATAAAATAAAATAAAATCTTGAAAAGATTTATTTTTTTTTCAAGCCCAGCTGCTTTTTTTTTTGAGCGGAGATGTTTCATCCCACCTGCTTTTTTTTAAAGGAGAATGGATGGACCTGCTTCTTCTGTCAGCAGAGGGGGTTTGAGGTGGCAGCAGGGAACCCCCCACGCTCCTCCTGCTGCTGGGGCTGCTCCGTAGCAGCAGGGATGGATTTAGGGTCCCGTCCCCCCCAGCACAGGGTGGCACTGACATCTAGTGGAAACATTTGGGGCGGATTGTAGCAGCTTTGTTGGTGGCTTCTATTGACTTTCCCAACTCTGTTTTTGCCTGGGCTGAGGGCAGAGCAAACGGTGCCTAAAGCACCAGCCTGGCGCTGCAAAGTCGGATGTGCAGAGGAAGGAGGGGACAGCAAAGCACCCCAGAGAGCCCCAAAATGGGGCAAAGTTGCTGCTGCAGAGCAAGACCAGCAAATGCAACGTGAGCCTTAATCCTGGCAGGCAAAAGTCCCCTGGGAGGTGGGTGCTGGGGGGCAGGGCAGGGTCTGGCTGGGCAGGAGGGGGCTGCCCCTGCCTGGCTTTGCAGAGGGGGGGGTGGGTTTGCAAGTGGTTGATCAAAAGGGTCCTTAAATCCCAGTGGGTGGGGAGTTAATGGCTCCCCCATGCTCTGCCAGCCCCGCAGAAACACCAGCCCCAGGCAAGGTTTGGCGGCCGCGTGTCCAACAAGGGATCAAGAAGCTGGAAAGCCAGAAATTCTCGGGGTGCTCCGTCCTGTGCTGGGAGGAGCTGGGAGCTCTGCTCTTGCTCCTGAGGAGGCTCCTATGGGCTACGAGAAATTCCAGCTACTGTTTGCAGAGCGAGCTGCTAATGAAAACCAGCAGCGCCTCCCAGCTCAGATGCGAGCGCGTCCTCCCGGGATCAAAGCTGCAGCTCCCGGAGCGGAAAGCCGGGAATAAATCGCATCCTGCGGGACAGACGTGGCCCCGGGTCCCCTGGCCCCCCCTG